GCGTGATCCTTGGTGTTTCTATGAAACTAGCCACCTCGCGCTCGTCCAAGGTGTGGTAGCGATTTTCTTCTCAGGCTGCCACTGCAAACTTTAGCTGGAGCTTGGCCGTAAGTATCGGACCCTTCCGGCTTCCACCTCCCCAAGAGATCTTTCTCGGGCCCCGTGACCCCCAGCACGCTGAGCCCAGTGGGTAGCACTGATCTCTCAGAGTGCTCCGTCCAGAAGCGCTGAGCTATCGCACGCCCTTTGCAGGATAGCGGCCGAGACCGCCACCACATCCGCGTACTCGGCCATCTTCTTCTCGAAGACCGCAAAGTTCGGCTTCAGCTTAGGTAGCAGGTAGTCTCGACCAAAGGTCGCCAACCATTGTAGCAGCTCGAAGCCTACCCTTAGCCACGCTGGATTCTCGAAGAAGGCAGCCTCACTGACGCATAGCGGCATCTCCTTGATGCGCCTGTTTGGTCCAGATGTCTTGGTCCGACGTAGCGTGGTGACCAATCGGCCCTCCACTAGCTTTAGCTCTCCAGGACGGATGGCCTGCACATCCCACCTTAGCGACGCCCAAACTTTGACCAACTTAGCCCAGGCATAGACACGCAGGCCTGTTGGCTCGCTATCGTCGAGGACCACCCTCTCGATGGCCACCAAGACCATCACTGGATATCGGGGTGCTCTCTTGATCAACGGAGCACCCTCGTAGAGGACTTCCACAATCTTGTCCTTAGCCGCTCAGGCCAGACGTCCTCCGGTAGCGCGGAGCTCAACCTTGAACTCCGCAACCCTCTCCATCCAGGAGACAGCTTTTAGCGGGCACAAGGCTCGTCCCTTAGCACCAACAGGTCATCGACCAAGTCGGCTGGCCTGCCGGGCGGATCGACACGTTTGGCCTCTTGTAGCCATAGCCGCCACCTTTTGTACAGGGTGACATAGCGCTTCAGAGTCGAGGATCGCGTCTTCCGGGCAACAGCTCGCACACCCTCTCAGGATCCAGGCAGTCATCTATCGTCT